GATACAGCCAAGAAGCAGATGGGGTGTTTCAAGTGCGGAAGAGAAGGGCATCGAGCTGTAGAATGCCGCTCAAAGGCCCCCCAGCACAACCCAGACAGATCCCCAATCAACAAACCCAGAGGGTATTCAGCTAAGCCAAAAGAAACAGCCATGAAAATGATGGAAATTGCAGAAAACCCCACCTCTGCTCACCAAGGGGAAAGAACTCCAGCCTACACCACAGGGACGGTGGATGCCTCAGATGACAGCTCGGAAGGCGAACCCCTGGTAAGTGGACGCATCACACCCATCTTCAAAACAGTGACTATATTAATCCCCCCCATGCCCGAAGCTGTGAAGGTGAAAGCCTTAATAGACTCTGGCTGCACCCGCTGCCTCATTAGCCCAACACTAGTGGGGAATCTGGGCATCCCATCCAGGAGACTGGAACAACCAATCTCATTTGGCCAGCTAGATGGATCCATAGCAGGGGGGGTGCCAGCTACCCTAGCCACTCTGCCAATACACCTCTCCCTGGGCAACCATGAAGAGGACTTAACGTTTGTGGTGACCCCAGGTATGGAATGCCCAATGATTCTAGGGATGGAATGGTTGAAAAAATGGAACCCCTGGGTAAATTGGAGGACGACAGAAATCAAATTCCCGAAGGGGGACCCTATGGACTTAAAACCCCAAGGGAGGCTACCAGAATCAAGAATAGAAAAAGCATCCATAGGAGAGGAAAAAAGATTAACAGAAATACCAGAGGAATATAGGGACCTTGCTGAAGTCTTCAGTGAGGAGAGGGCGAATGAGCTTCCCCCCCACCGACCCACAGACTGTACCATTGAATTCAAGCCTGGGGCAAAACTCCCGAAGCCCAGATTATACTCCATGAGCCCAAAGGAGAAGGAGGAAATGGAAAGATTTATAAAAAAAAACCTGGAGAGAGGTTTCATTGAACCAGCTAAGCCTAAAGTGGCTGCCCCGGTCCTTTTTAGAGAGAAGAAGGATGGCTCTTTACGTTTATGCGTGGATTATAGGGCCCTGAATACAATCAGTGAAAGCAACCTATACCCGCTGCCCCTCATGAAAGACATGCTGTCACACCTATCGAAAGGGAAAATTTTTTCTAAACTAGACCTAAGGGAAGCTTACTATCGCGTGAGAATCAAGGAAGGGGACGAATGGAAGACTGCATTTAACTGCCCCATGGGGTGCTATCAATTCAAAGTCTTGCCATTTGGATTACAAGGGGGCCCTGCAGTCTTTATGCAACTAATCAATGACGTTCTAAGGGAGCACCTGTTTAAGGGGGTCCTTGTTTACTTGGACGACATTCTTATCTTTACCGAAACAAAAGAAGAACACGTCAAACTTGTCAGAGCGGTTTTAAAGAAGCTGCGAGCCGCTCACCTATATGCCAAACTCTCAAAATGCGAATTCCACCAGGAAAGGATAGACTACCTAGGCTATCGCATATCCCCACAGGGCATTGAAATGGACCCGGAGAAGGTCAGAGCAGTATAGAATGGGCACCACCCCGCACAAGAAAGCAACTACAAAGTTTCCTGGGCTTTGCAAATTTTTACCGCCAATTCATCCCCTCATTTGCACAGATAGCCTTGCCCCTCACCAACTTACTAAAAACGAAGGGAACATCCTCAGTAAAACCTAGCCAGCCACTAACATGGACAATGGAGTGCCAAGCAGCGTTTGAGAGACTAAAGAGACTTTTTTCTGCCGAACCAGTACTAAGGCACCCAGACATGGACAAGCCCTTCATAATACAGGCAGATGCAAGTGATGTGGCAGTGGGGGCTGTGCTATTACAAGAAAATGATGATGCAGTATTGCAACCCTGTGCATATACATCCAAGAAACTCACGGAAACAGAACAGCGCTGGCCCGTATGGGAGGAGGCTTATGGGATACGTTGGGCATTACTCACATGGCGACAGTTCCTGGAAGGCAACAAAATCCCCTTCCAGGTGTGGACTGATCACAAAAATTTGGAAGCCCTGAAAACTTCCAGGAAACTCAATCCCAAACAAGCCCGCTGGTCCCAGCATTTTCACCAATTCCAATTTAAGCTCAAACATTTACCAGGAAGAAAGAACTTCCTGGCAGATGCACTATCTCGCATGCCCCAATATAACAGCGCACGAACCACAGACTCTAGACCAATAATGGCAGAGTCACAACTGGCAGCACCAGTAACCACAAGAACCCAAGCCAAATTAAAACCACAACTGGACAGCCAAACTGGAATTGAATTCAGAAAAAGTTTGGAAACAGATGAATGGTTCCAGAAAAACAAAAATGTGTGCACAATGAGAGACGGGTTGCCTTGGATAGGGGAAAAGTTATATATACCAACAACTCAAAGAGTAACTTTCATGCACCTTTGCCATGACACAAAATCAGCAGGGCATTTTGGATTTGTAAAAACTTTACATTTAATTAAACGGCAATTTTGGTGGCCATCCATGAAAAAGGACATTGAAAGTTATATAGCCAGTTGTCCAAAATGTGCCACGGCAAAGAGGTTGCAAGGGAAAGTGCCAGGACTATTGCAAACAGTGGCAAGTCCCTCAGCCCCCTGGAGAGAAATAGCCATGGATTTTATAGTGGAATTGCCAGAAAGCAATGGGAATACTGTGGTCTGGACGGTCACGGACTTGTTTTCCAAACAGGTGCATTTTATCCCTTGCCAAAAGATTCCCACTGCAAAAGCCTTAGCAAAACTTTTCATCCAACACATTTACAGATTGCATGGGGCACCCCAACGCATCATCTCTGACAGGGGGGTGCAATTTACGTCTGCATTTTGGAAGGAATTTTTATCCCTCTTAGGAACCACTCAGGGACTGACATCTAGCCACCACCCTCAAGGAAATGGGGGGGCTGAAAAAATGAACTCAGTACTTAAGCAATATTTAAGATGTTTTCTTAGTTTCCAGCAGACCGAGTGGGCGGACTTACTCCCTTTTGCAGAAGTTGCCTACAATAATGCAGTCCACTCCAGCACAGGTTACACTCCTTTTCAAATAGCCACCGGTCAAAGTTTCAACCCCATGCCAGAATTAACCCCAAACGAACCAACGATCCCCTCGCTGAAAGAATGGATGGAAAAATTACAAAACACCTGGCCAATAGTCAGAAAAGCACTAGATGAAGCTAGGCAGGCTTACAAAACACAAGCCGATAAAAAAAGGGTTGAGCCTACACCATTCATTATAGGAGAAATGGTGTACTTATCTACAAAATACCTAAAGTCCCTACAGCCCTGTAAAAAACTTGGACCAAAATATATAGGACCTTTTCCAATTAAAAGAATCATAAATCCAGTAACAGTAGAATTAGAATTACCCAAAAATCTCAGGCAAATACACCCAATTTTTCATTGCAGCTTGCTGAAAAGAGAGCATCAGTCACCTCTACGGCCAAAAATCCCCCCCCCACACCTCCAATCATGGTGGAGGGTGAACAACACTTCGAAATAAAGGAAGTCCTTGACTCTAGGAGATATCATGGAGCAACTCAGTACCTAGTTGCCTGGAAACACCGCCCTCCCTCACAAAATGAGTGGGTCCATAAACGTCATGTCAGAGCCCCGAAGCTATTGAAGAAGTTTCACACAGAGTATCCTAACACGCCTGACTAAATTTTATACTTGTATTTTCTTTCAGGTGGATCTCTCTTATTTTTAAGAGGGGCCGGATGTCAGAATCCAATCATATTTCATCTTTAATTATCAAATATAGAAACTCCCAATTCTGCCTTCTTTGGATTATGCCATAAGAGGGAGAGAAGGGGGAGAACAAAAGGGCTTTATGGCCCTCACTTCCTTCAGTAGACTTCAAAGAGCTGAATGCTGAATGTGTGTTTAATGTAACCTATTGTAACCTCAAAGCGTTAACACCAGAGAACATTAGCATTAACAAAGAAGAGTATTTGCCTTTCATGTAGTTATCTGAAGTCTCCATCCAGACGGAAGAAAGAAGAAACGGGGTGGAATTGTGATACTTGAAACTATCATTGGGAAGGGGGGTTGATTGGGTGGGACTACTGGGGAACCCCTTAAAACCTTGAATGGGAGAGCTTGGACCCCAAGTCCTGTCTAGCATGCCTGCAACCATTTTCTCTTAATAAAGGATTCCTTTTGGAAGAACTATTCCAAGAGTTCTGTCTTCTTAAGATGCAAAGTGGGGTGGGTCCTTACAAAGGCCTTGGTAAGGCCACACTTGGAATCCTGCATCCAGTTTTGGTCACCACAATGTAAAAAAGATGTTGAGACTCTAGAAAGAGTGCAGAGAAGAACAACAAAGATGATTAGGGGACTGGAGGCTAAAACATATAAGGAACGATTGCTAGAATTGGGTATGTCTAGTTTAACGAAGAGAAGGACAAGGGGGGACATGATAGCAGTCTTCCAGTATCTCAGGGGCTGCCCCAAAGAAGAGGGAGTCAAGCTATTCTCCAAAGCTCCTGAAGGCAGGAGAAGAAACTGATCAAGGAGAGAAGCAATCTAGAACTAAGGAGAAACTTCCTGACAGTTAGAACAATTAACCAGTGGAACAACCTGCCTCCAGAAGCGGTGAATGCTTCAACACTGCAAGTTTTTAAGAAGAGACTGGACAGCCATTTGTCCGAAATGGTATAGGGTTTCCTGCCTGAGCAGGGGGTTGGATTAGATGACCTCCAAGGTCCCTTCCAACTTTACTATGATGATGATGATGATGATGATGTCCCCTGTTTCTTCTTTTCTTTAGACTAAGCACACCCAATTCCCGTTCTCCAGCCTCCTTAAGGTCATGTCACAGATCAACTGACCAAGGAGTTCCTTGGGTCTTAATTGAGGGTACGAGATTGTAATCTTTTAAAAGCAACACTCACGCCCAAACTTAAAGAGATGGTTTCATTAAAAAGGGCAAAACACAAAAATTAAAACGGAAGGCGTTCTTAAAAACAACGAATAAAAAAAAAGACGTGCATTTTAATAAAATCACATCCCAAACCTTGTTTCCTGAACTTCTGAAGGAACGGCAGTCCTGTTTTGGAAGTTAGACAAAGTATTAAGAAATGTTAGAAAATGTGTTTATTTGCTTTTATTTATTTTTGGAAATGCAAGTTGACTCTGGGCTGCCCAGGATATTTTGAGTCCTCCAGCAAAGAAGCTAATGAAGCCCCCCACACACACACACTGCTTTGAAGTGGCGAGTTATTTGGCCGCATGGCAGAAATAGTATAGAACAGGGGTAGGCCACCTTGGCCCTTTTATGACTGGTGGACTTCAACTCCCAGAATTCCTGAGCCAGCCTGGCTCAGCTTGGAAAGCTCTCCCTTTCCCCTCAGCATGGCTGGCTCAGGAATTCTGGGAGTTGAAGTCCACAAGTCATAAAAGTGCCAAGGTGGCGTACCTCTGGCCTAGGCCTAGGCTGCTTCATGACTCGTGGACTTCAACTCCCAGAATTCCTGAGCCAGCATGGGGGAACTATGGCCCCCTCATGACTAGTGGACTTCAACTCCCAGAATTCCTGAGCCAGCATGGGGGAACTATGGCCCCCTCATGACTGGTGGACTTCAACTCCCAGAATTCCTGAGCCAGCCTGGCTCAGCTTGGAAAGCTCTCCCTTTCCCCTCAGCATGGCTGGCTCAGGAATTCTGGGAGTTGAAGTCCACGAGTCATAAAAGAGCCAAGGTGGCCTACCCCTGGTATAGAAAATAACCATTTCCTGCCAATAATAATCGGTAGCTGGGGGTAGCCTTGTTGGTCGAACTATACAGTCGTCTTGGGAAGTCCTTTCCTGCAGGAAATGCAAAGCTAACTCCTTCACCTTGGAAAAGAAGCACTCTGACGTTGTGCCATGACCCCCACCCCAAAAAAAGGCCCTTGCATGTCTCAAAACAGAGAAGAAGGGGAAAGATGCAGCTTCTGAATTACATCCAAGGGGGCATCTGTGAGATCCACGGTGCTCTCTGAGCTTGGCGGTTTCCTGGCAGACGTTTCATGACCAAACTAGGTAACATCTTCAGTGCTGGAAGGTAATGACAGCACTGAGGATGTTACTTAATTGGGTCATGAAACGTCTGCAAGGAAACCACCAATTGCAGAGAGAAGCAGGACCTCACAGTCTTACTTCTCCTCCTCCTCCTCCTCCTCCTCCTCCTTCTCAACGAACCCTTCCCCTTCTAACATAATGGTGTTACCTAGCTGGGTTATAAAATGTCTGCAAGGAAACCATCAAGGTCAGAGAGCATCAAGGACCCAACTGTCCTCCTCCTTCTCCTTCCCACAAACCCCCCTCCCTTCTAGCACTGATGAGGTTCCCTAGTTCCCGCCCTGAGTCCTTTGGGATTGGGCGGCATATAAATATTTGTAAATAAATTTGTAAATAAATAAATAGTTGGGTCATGAAATGTCTGCAAAAAGCCCACCAAGCTAAGAGAGCACCAACGACCCCACAGCCCTCCTCCTCTCTGCAATCCCCCCCTGCTCTAGCAGTGATGATGGACCTCACAATCTTCTTCTTCTTTCTCCTCCTCCTCCTCCTCCTCCTCCTCCTCCTCCTCCTCCTCTTTCTCCTTCTAGCACTGATGATGTGACTTAGTTGGGTCATCAAACGTCTTGAAAAAAAACCGCCAAGCTCAGAGATCACCAAGGATCCCACAGTCACTGTCGTCGTCGTCCTCCTCCTCCTCCTCCCCCCTCTCATCCTCCACCTCCTCCTCCTCCTCTCTGCCAACCCCTCTCCCTTCTAGCACTGATGATGTTCCCCAGTTGGGTTATGAAATGTCTGCAAGGAAACCGCCAAGCTCAGAGAGCACCAAGGGCCTCACAGTCCTTCCTCCTCCTTCTCCTCTCCCTCCTCTCCACACACCCCTTCCCTTCTAGCACTGATGATGTTCCCTAGTTGGGTCATGAAACATCTGGAAGAAAACCACCCAGCTCAGAGAGCACCCAGGACCCCATAGTCGTCGTCCTCCTCCTCCTCTGCAAACCATACTCCCTTCTAGCACTGATGATGTGACCTAGCTGGGTCATGAAACATCTGGAAGAAAACCACCCAGCTCAGAGAGCACCCAGGACCCCTCGCAGTTCAACCCTGAGCTCCAAGCCTCCTCTTCTCCTCTTCACTTCTCCGGCCACCCCTAGGTCCCCTTGTCCTTTGGCGAAAGGATTGGAGGGAGCCCCTTTTTCCAACGAGCCCCTTTTATGCCGAGGAATAAATCTGGGAGATGTGCAGCTCCCTCCATCAGGTGCACGGAAGGGTTGCTCAACCTTGGCCGCCTGAAGACGGAGGGACGTCAACTCCCAGAATTCCCCAGCCAGCATGGGGAAGTTGTCATGCCTCGGAGATCTCCGACTAGCCTCTGGGAGCGGAAAGGGCTCCTCTCCCTCCCACAATTGTTTTAGCTTTCTCCTGACCGTCCCTGGCAGGAGAAACGGGATGTTGCTGGCCAAAAAGGGGACAGGAAAAGCTTACCTCTCTCTCTCCGCCGGGTCCTGTTTCGCTCCTTCTGTCCTGGAAGGAAAGAAAGAGAGCATGGCCGGATGAAGCCGTCCCTTCCCGGACGGGCTCCCCCAGGGGGTCTGGGTGACACCCCCCCTTCCTCCCCCTCCTGGCCCACGTACCGCTCTTTCCTGGCCTGGTTTCGCTCCTCTTCGAACCTAGAGCAAAGGCAGGGAGAATGTTAGGGGTTCTCCCCAGGGTGTGGGGAAAAATCAGTTTTCCGATGAATGAGACTGTTCAATAGACAAGTGGAACAGAACAGAACAGAACAGAGAATAGAGTAGAGTATAGAGTAGAGGAGAGAGAAGAGAAGGAGGAGAGGGAGGAGGAGGAGAAGAGAAGGAGGAGGAGGAGGAGAAGGAGGGGAGGAGGAAGAGGAGAAGGAGGAGAAGGAGGAGGAGGGGGAGGAGGGGAGGAGGAGGAGGAGAAGGAGGAGGAGGAGGGGAGGAGAAAAGGGAGGAGGAGGAGGAGGAGGAAGAAGAGAAGAGAAGGAGAGGAGGAGAAGAAGGAGGGGAGGAGGAAGAGGAGAAGGGAGGAGGAGGAGGAGGAGAAAAGGGAGGAGGAGGAGGAGAAGGAAGAGGAGAAGGAGGAGGAGGAGGAGGAGGAAGAAAAGGGAGGAGAAGGAGGAGAAGGGGGGAGGAGGAGAAGAAGGAAGAAGAGAAGAAGAAGGAGGAGGAGAAGGAGGGGAGGAGGAGGAGGAGGAGGGGGGAGGAGGAGGAGAAGGAAGAGGAGAAGGAGGAGGAGGAGGGGAGGAGAAAAGGGAGGAGGAGGGGGAGGGGGAGGAGAAGGAAGAGGAGGAGAAAAGGGAGGAGAAGGAGGAGAAGGGGGGAGGAGGAGAAGAAGGAAGAAGAGAAGAAGAAGGAGGAGGAAGAGGAGAAGGAGGAGGAGAAGAGGGAGGAGGAGGAGGGGGGAGGGGGAGGAGGAGGAGAAGGAAGAGGAAGAGGGAGGAGGAGAAGAAGGAGGAGAAGGAGGAAGAGAAGGAGGAGGAGAAGGCGAAGGAGAACAAGATTGCTATTATTGCTACTATTGATAGTTATTTCTGTCAACGGAGTTAGCTTGGCATGCTCTAATACAGTATTTCCCAACCGAGGCAACGTGAAGGTGGGTGGACGTCAACTCCCAGAATCCCCCACCCACCTTCATGTTGCCCAGGTGAGGAAACACCAGCCCCGCAGGCCCAACGGTCCTTCTCCCAGGCTTCCAAGCGGATTTTGGCTCGCAAGGATTCCCAAGAGCTCTACTATAGTCCTTCCCTGCCTCCAGGGGATGCGCCCCCAGCACGGAGTCCCCCAGGGCTAACCTCTCCCTTTACCTGCACAGGTGCGCACACACCCCCGATCCTGTCATGCACTATAACTCACGACAACACCCCGGAGCAAACCAAATCTACTCTAAAGGAGGGCACCATTGCTTATTTTAATTACTACAGTATACTTCTTTTTTCTTCTTCTCCTCCACCGTGTGAGGTTTCTGAGGATCTGAAAATACAACAACCCTTACTGCAAGATGCAGTCGGGGATCTGGACGTGCTCCATGGGAATCGTGTGAGCCAGTTCCTCCAAGGTGTGAACGTACTGGATTTTGCTGATGAATTTCACACTAAAAGAGAAGAGAAGAGAAGAGAAGAGAAGAGAAGAGAAGAGAAGAGAAGAGAAGAGAAGAGAAGAGAAGAGAAGAGGAGACACACGGTTTTAGTTTCAGCTTCAAAAGGTTCGCTCCTGAACTCGCGACCGTTCGTTTTTTAACAACCGCTCGCAGCGGCAACGGCCTTGGAAAAAGTGACTGGCGGCCCATCCTTAAGGTTACAACGGTCACCACCGTCCCTGAGGTCACCTGACCACCATTTGTGCGCTTGGGAGGATAGCTTGCATTTACGAGGGTTGCAGGGTCTTGCAGTCCTGGGATCGCCAGTCGTGACCTTGTCAGTCAGCTTCTGACAAGCAAAGTCATCTGGGGAAGTTGCGAATGTTCCAACACTGGAAGTTTTTAAGAAGACAAACACCTGGCTGAAATAGTACAGGGTTTCCTGCCAGAGCAGGGGGTTGGGCTAGATGACCTCCAAGAAGACCTTCCATTCTGTCATGGAAGGAAGGAAGGAAGGAAGGAAGGAAGGAAGGAAGGAAGGAAGGAAGGAAGGAAGGAAGGAAGGAAGGAAGGGCGGGCTGTGGGGTCCTTGGTGCTCTCTGAGTTTGGTGATTTTCTTGCAGATGTTTCATGACCCAACTAGGGAACATCATCAGTGATAGAAGGGAGGGGGAAGAGAAGGAAGGAAGAAAGGAAGGAAGGAAGGGAGGGAGGGAGGGAGAGGGAGGGATGGAGGCAGGACCCATTCTGTTATGGATGGATGGATGGATGGATGGAAGGAAGGAAGGAAGGAAGGAAAGAAGGAAGGATGGAAGGAAGGAAGGAGGGGAGGGAGGGAGGGAGGGAGGGAAGAAGGACCCATTCTGTTATGGAAAGGAAGGAAGGGAGGGAGGGAGGGAGGGAGGGAGAGAAGGAAGGAAGGAAGGAAGGAAGGAAGGAAGGAAGGAAGGAAGGAAGGAAGGAAGGAAGGAAGGAAGGAAGGTAGGTTTTAAAATCGGATCCGGTCACGGGATGACTTGCTTAAGGACTGCATTGTTTTTTCTGGTCTCTACTGTGGTGGTAAGTTGAGGACTCCCTGTGTGGCTATTAGTTTAGAGGATGCTGCTAACAACCCTACTCTGTGTGAAAGCAAAAGTGATTAAGTGGCTTTTAAAGATATGGAAACCAAGAGAGGCCAAAACAAGCAATCATTTCCAAGTATCAAGCTGGGATTCGCTCCAGCTTTTATTCGTTTACCTGATGAACGGCCGAGATATCGCCAGCACCGTCCGAATGAACCAGGAAGGGTGAACGATTATCAACGCTTTCAGGTTTTTCCGGAGCCTGTGAAAAAAATGAAAGGCGATGCAATTTTTTTTCGCAAAAAAAAAAAAAAAAAGACCCAAAGCAAAACTGGGTTAAAACAGTCACACCTCAGTGAGAACATTCTGCACCACTACGAATCTTAAAAAAGAAGCTAGGTTGGTGTCGTGGTTAACGGCACCAAGCTGGAAGTTTTCTTAAATTAAATTTTTGATGTGGCCCATAGGATCGTCAAGAATCAGAAACGATTGAATGGATGGCATCAAACTAAATTTTATTAAATTATTACATGAGTAATAGTAATAATAATAATAATAAAGTTGGAAGGGACCTTAGAGGTCATCTAGTCCAAGCCCTTGCTCAGGCAGGAAACCCTACACCATTTTGGACAAATGGCTGTCCAGTCTCTTCTTAAAAACTTCCAGTGTTGGAGCATTCACCGCTTCTGGAGGCAGGTAGTTCCACTGGTTAATTGTTCTCACTGTCAGGAAGTTTCTCCTTAGTTCTAGGTTGCTTCTCTCCTTGATTAGTTTCCATCCGTTGCTTCTTGTCCTGCCTTCAGGCACTTTGGAGAATAGCTTGACTCCCTCTTCTTTGGGGCAGCCCCTCAGATACTGGAACATTGCTATCATGTCCCCCCTCGTCCTTCTCTTCATTAGACTAGACATCCCCAATTCCACCAATTATATGTTTTAGCCTCCAGTCCCCTAATCATCTTTGTTGCTCTTCTCTGTACTCTTTCTAGAGTCTCAACATCTTTTTTACATCGTGGTGACCAAAACTGGATGCAGTATTCCAAGTGTGGCCTTACCAAGGCCTTGTAAAGTGGTATTAACACTTCACGTGATCTTGATTCTCTCCCTCTGTTAATGCAGCCCAGCACTGAGTTGGCTTTTTTGGCAGCTGCAGTACACGGCTGGCTCATATTTAAGTGATTGTCCACTAGGACTCCGAGGTCCCTCTCACAGTTACTACTATTGAGCAAGAGACCCCCTATACTATACCTGTACCTGTAATAATTATTATTGTTAAGGGTTATCACACAATCAGCCAGCTGTTCAGACTGGAATTGGAATTTTTTATCCACCTATCAAGTCCTTCCCAAGGACCTGGGATGGGCAGATGTTCACATTTTGTGATGCTAGAGCAGAGGTGGGGGATGATGGCCCTTGTTTGACTTGTGGACTTCAACTCCCAGAATTCCTGAGCCAGTTGAAGTCCACAAGTCATAAAGGGGCTATCGTTCCCCATCCCTGTATTAGAGGTAACATAGCTGTTCTGATCCAAACTGCTCTTTTGCAATTGACCAATGGCGAATTGGTCAATGCCAACGTTGCTCAAGTCAAATTCAGCATCGGTCAGTAAGTTATTATATTAATAAATGTATTCATATAAATAGTCTTTTGTGTTGTAACGAGCTGGGTAATGGGTTGTGTGATGACATCCTGAGATCTAATGTAGTGATATCCTGAGTTCTGTGGTGCACCATCCTGGGTGGTTGGCTGTGTTGTAACATCCTGACTAATGGGCACACAGCCAGCACCTCAACTACTCAGGATGTTACGAAACAGCCAAACAATCCACAAACAATAGCTCCTACACAGCCAAACAATCCACCTACAGCAACTAAGCCAGCACTCCACAGACCCCCACCAATATATAGAGAGAGACAGCAGCTCCGATCACACTTTGCTCGCACAAGCACGAAGCCGAAGACCCCAGCCTGAAGATGACGAGTGGGACCTCGTCGAAACGTCGCTAAGATACTCTCAATCTTACACAGGAAAAGACCCGAATACACCAAGACCTGCATACCTATACTCGTGAAAATCTACGAAAATATATACTACATTTTTGCCGCAGTTGTTGAGCAAATGCTGTGGTCATTAAGCAAACAACATGGTTGTTAAATGCACTTATTGTCTGCAATAGACAGATCACATGATCGCTGGATGTGGCAGGCAGCTGTAAGTGTGAGAGGTTGTCGAGCAACCAGGATTTGATCACGTGACCATAGAGTAGTGGTTCTCCACCTGTGGGTCAGGACCCCATTTGGGGTCGAACGACCATTTCACGGGGGTCGCCAAACAATGCAGTCCGCCACTTTTTTCCCCCTTTCCCTTAGCTGTGCTACTCCCTTTTATTCTGTTGGCTTTGGAAAGCCAATAGAATAGACTCTCTTGAATAGAGTCTAATTCTATTGGCTTTCAAAAGCCAATAGGAATTGTCCAGGCTGTCTCTGCCCTGCTGAGCCCGCCAAAAGCCCCAGTCTGCAAACGGTGCTGCACCCGTTGAGTAGTCCTCGACTTATGACCGGTTGAGTCGTCATCGACTTACGACCGGTTGGGGGGTCGCAGCATTAAAAAGGTTGAGAACCACTGCCATAGAGGGAGGGGTTTGAACTATGAATCGAAAGGGGAAGTAACTTTAAGGGGGGGTCCATCATAACTTCAAATGGTCACTAAGCAACCAGTCGTTAGTTGAACACGATCTGTATAGAATTGTAACTGTTTACGGTTATAACAATACTTTTAATGTATTTATTTATTCAATTTATATAGCCACACCTCTCAAACCAGTGACTCCACCTGGCAAACCATCCTTTTCTTTTCTCCCCCCCCCTCCTTTTTTTGTGTTGTATTTTTTTTTCACTTTTTTTAAAAAAAAAAAAATTGGGAGGGTTGTTGCCGTTATTTTCTCCCTTTCATAGCGTGTGCATTTCTGTCAGGATTATCTTTTGTGCTTTGTTTTTTTCTTTCTGTTGTTGTTATTTTAAAACCTGCAAAAATAAATCAATAACTGTTGATGACGGGTCCTCAAGTCATTTTTTTGACTCCTAGCACAGCATAATTTTCCTTCTGAAGCTGAGTACAAACACAGGAACGTATACAATTGGGGTCTTTGGGCCATAAATTTGATAGATACATGATATGGAGATATAGATGGATGGATGGATGGATGGATGGATGGATGGATGGATGGACAGACAGACAGATAGATAGAAGGTGGATGGTGGAGATATACATGGATAGATGGATGGACGGACAGAAGGACAGACAGAGACACAGAGACAGACAGACAGACAGACAGACAGATAGATAGACAGATAGATAGAAGGTGGATGGATGGAGATATACATGGATAGATGGATGGACGGACAGACAGACAGACAGATAGATGGTGGATGGATGGATGGAGATATAAGATGGACAGATGGAGAGATAGATAGATAGATAGATAGATAGATAGATAGATAGATAGATAGATAGATAGATAGATAGATAGATAGATAGATAGATAGATAGATACCTGCATCATAGATGATGGATGGAGACAGACAGATGGAAAGATAGAGGGATGGATGGATAGATGAATAGATAGATAGATAGATGGATAGACAGACAGACAGACGGATGGACAAATAGATAGATAGATTGAGATATAGGGATAGAGATAGAGAAATATAGATATGCATAGATATATGAAATTTATGGCCAAAAGACCCAATTATCAATGCCTTGCTCTGAGGATTCCAGGCCAAACATATTTAAAAAGGAGTAAAATGCTTGGATATGAGAAAATGCAGACACACACACACACACACCGCCCCCCATGGAGAGTGGGTCCGCACTGCCACAAAAGAGCAGACGCAGGGCAGCCTGTTCCTCAACTGAACCACGGGTAACTGAGATTCTGGTTTTGATGGCATCGACCCTCCTTACCGTCTGTCAATCATCTGGTAGCACTTTTTCAACCAGCCGATGCCCGGCATTCTCCTCCGTGGAGTGGCGCCATTCAAATACACAATCATGTAGTCTTCGGCCACCAGCAGCTCCAAACTGCTGATCACGTACCTTCCGGAACAAAGAGGAAGAGAAGAAAGAGAAGTGAGGAAAAAGTGAGCCCAAAAAGATATATCCCAAGTCACAAAGTTGGGAGTATTCTTTCAGATTGGGATTTTTTTCCACCTTAGAAACTTTTCAGACAGGTGGACTTCATCTCCCAGAATCCCCCATGATGGGCTGGGGAATTGTGGTTGAGGTCCACTTGTCTTCAACCATGCTGGCTGAGGAATTCTGGGAGTTGAAGTCCACCCGTCTTCAATCATGCTGGCTGAGGAATTCTGGGAGTTGAAGTCCACCCGTCTTCAATCATGCTGGCTGAGGACTTCTGGGAGTTGAAGTCCACCCGGCTTCAACCATGCTGGCTGAGGAATTCTGGGAGTTGAAGTCCACCCGTCTTCAACTACGCTGGCTGAGGAATTCTGGGAGTTGAAGTCCACCCGTCTTCAATCATGCTGGCTGAGGAATTCTGGGAGTTGAAGTCCATCCATCTTCAACCATGCTGGCTGAGGATGGAAGTTGAAGTCCACCCGTCTTCAACCATGCTGGCTGAGGAATTCTGGGAGTTGAAGTCCACCCGTCTTCAATCTGGCTGAGGAATTCTGGGAGTTGAAGTCCACCCGTGCTGGCTGAGGAATTCTGGGAGTTGAAGTCCACCCGTCTTCAATCATGCTGGCTGAGGAATTCTGGGAGTTGAAGTCCACCCGTCTTCAACCATGCTGGCTGAGGAATTCTGGAAGTTGAAGTCCACCCGTCTTCAATCATGCTGGCTGAGGAATTCTGGGAGTTGAAGTCCACCCGTCTTCAACATGCTGGCTGAGGAATTCTGGGAGTTGAAGTCTACCCGTCTTCAACCATGCTGGCTGAGGAATTCTGGGAGTTGAAGTCCACCCTGCTGGAGGAATTCTGAAGTTGCTGGCTCTTCCACCCGTGCTGGCTGAGGCTCTGCTGGAGTTCTGAGTTGAGTCCACCCGTCTTCAACCATGTTGGCTGAGGAATTCTGGGAGTTGAAGTCCACCCGTCTTCAACCATGCTGGCTGAGGAATTCTGGGAGTTGAAGTCCACCCGTCTTCAACCATGCTGGCTGAGGAATTCTGGGAGTTGAAGTCCACCCGTCTTCAACCATGCTGGCTGAGGAATTCTGGGAGTTGAAGTCCACCCGTCTTCAACCATGCTGGCTGAGGAATTCTGGGAGTTGAAGTCCACCCGTCTTCAACCATGCTGGCTGAGGAATTCTGGGAGTTGAAGTCCACCCGTCTTCAACCATGCTGGCTGAGGAATTCTGGGAGTTGAAGTCCACCCGTCTTCAACATGCTGGCTGAGGAATTCTGGGAGTTGAAGTCCACCCGTCTTCAATCATGCTGGCTGAGGAATTCTGGGAGTTGAAGTCCACCCTCTTCAACCATGCTGGCTGAGGAATTCTGGGAGTTGAAGTCCACCCGTCTTCAACCATGTTGGCTGAGGAATTCTGGGAGTTGAAGTCCACCCGTCTTCAACCATGCTGGCTGAGGAATTCTGGGAGTTGAAGTCCACCCGTCTTCAACCATGCTGGCTGAGGAATTCTGGGAGTTGAAGTCCACCCGTCTTCAACCATGCTGGCTGAGGAATTCTGGGAGTTGAAGTCCACCCGTCTTCAACCATGCTGGCTGAGGAATTCTGGGAGTTGAAGTCCACTGTCTGAGTTGAAGTCCACCCGTCTTCAACCATGCTGGCTGAGGAATTCTGGGAGTTGAAGTCCACCCGTCTTCAACCATGCTGGCTGAGGAATTCTGGGAGTTGAAGTCCACCCGTCTTCAACCATGCTGGCTGAGGAATTCTGGGAGTTGAAGTCCACCCGTCTTCAACCATGCTGGCTGAGGAATTCTGGGAGTTGAAGTCCACCCGTCTTCAACCATGCTGGCTGAGGAATTCTGGGAGTTGAAGTCCACCCGTCTTCAACCATGCTGGCTGAGGAATTCTGGGAGTTGAAGTCCACCCGTCTTCAACCATGCTGGCTGAGGAATTCTGGGAGTTGAAGTCCACCCGTCTTCAACCATGCTGGCTGAGGAATTCTGGGAGTTGAAGTCCACCCGTCTTCAATCATGCTGGCTGAGGAATTCTGGGAGTTGAAGTCCACCCTCTTCAACCATGTTGGCTGAGGAATTCTGGGAGTTGAAGTCCACCCGTCTTCAACCATGCTGGCTGAGGAATTCTGGGAGTTGAAGTCCACTTGTCTTCAACCATGCTGGCTGAGGAATTCTGGGAGTTGAAGTCCGGGAGGACAAAGCAGCCCTTTTTTAAGCACCTCCAAAGGGCCAGGAATCGGGCCAACCCATCCTTTTTTAGGGTGACATTTCCCATGTTAGAGATGACTTCGGAGGCTCCCCATCTTGCCTCAACGAGATATCCTCCCCTCCTTTGCAGACCACAAGAAGAGCCACCACTTACAGGAAGAGGTTCTCCATGATGTAATGGTACTCAGGTAGATTGCTGTCTGGCAAATTACAAGCCGCGAAGACAATGATGGCGTTGAGGCCTTCCCCGTAATAACCTAAGAGAGACAGAAGCAAGGAGGGAATTGACCTGCTGAGTTGGCCATGGAGATTCCCTTGCTGAAATACAGATTAGCAAAAATGTTTAAAAATATGTCAGATAGACGTTGGAAATGTAAACATAACATAGGCACGTATTATCATATTTGGTGGACATGTGGGGAAGGCGAAGGCCTATTGGAAGAGCATACATATGTGGTTAGAAAAAATACTGGGCGAACAAGTGGATTTTAAACCTGAACTTTTTTTACTAGGCATTATGTCTGAAAAGATTAATGAGCAGAAATTATATTTAATTCTACATATTACCACAGCAGCAAGAATAATTTTTGCACAGTACTGGAAGAATGAAGGATTGCCATCAGAAGAAGAAAGAATCACGAAAATATTGGAATGTGCAGAGATGGACAGACTAACTATGAGGCTGAAAGATAAAGAAGATACGGACTATTATAAAATTTGGAATTTATTTTATTCTTGGTTAGAGAAAAGAATGAAGGATTAGGAAGTGAGCCGAGGTGGCGCAGCAGTTAGAGTGCAAGTACTGCAGGCCACTTTAGCTGACTGTGTCCAGCAGGTTCAAATCTCACCGGCTCAAGGTTGACTCAGCCTTCCATCCTTCCGGGGTAGGTCAAATGAGGACCCAGATTGTTGGGGGCAACGTAAATATATATATACATTGCTTACTGGTGTACACCGCTTAGAGAGTGCTTGCACTTAAAGCGGTATATAAGTCTCATAAATAAATAAATAAACATGTATTAGCTTAGCAAAAACACCAGACAACTTGTTTGATTGGAAAAATGTAAGGACCCACCCCACTTTGCATCTTAAGAAGACAGAACGCTTGGAATAATTCTTCCAGCAGGCATCCTTTATTAAGAGAAAATGGTTGCAGGCGTTCTAGACAGGACTTGGGGTCCAAGCTCTCCCATTCAAGGTTTTAAGGGGTTCCCCAGTAGCCCCACCCAATCACCCCCCTCTTCCAGCAACAGTCTCAGGCATCACACTCCCACCCCCTTTTCCTTACTGCCGGCTGGATGGAGACTTCAGAGAGAACTACTTGAAAGGTAATAGCCCCATTGTTATGGTTAGTCCTTTTGGCGATATCCACATTCAGTCTCTTTGAACTTGTACTGAAGGAAGTGAGGGCCATAAAGCCCCTTTGTTCACCCCCTTCCCATCACAGTATGACAGAATCCACAGAAGGCAGAAATGGGGTTTTCTATAGTCGATAACTAGAGATGAAATATAATTGGATAAAATTAACATATGTTGATGGGAAAAAAATTACCGTAAATGCCGGCGTATAAGGCGACTTCCGCGAGCGCTGAAATCAGCGCCAAAGACGGGGGTCGTCTTATACGCCAAGTCGTCTTATACGCCGGAAATACTGGTAGTTTCCGGCGTATAAGACGACGTTCTAGGAATGCGGCCCGGCTATAAAGACGGGGGTCGTCTTATACGCCGGGTCGCCTTGTACGCCGGCATTTACGGTAATAAAAAAAGATTGTTGAGAGATTCCCTTGCTGAAATACAAGGGCCTTCAGCCACCCGATGGACCCGCTCCTTTCTCCTCCAAAGACTTGGTTGGAGACCTCACGGTGTCTCCAGAGCTTCTCACCTCCATGAGTTACCACCTTCATATACGGCTTGATCATCTGCAGGTCGATGCGGTGTTCCTGCTCCCCAATAATGACCGTCCTCCACAGACGGCCGTTGGGGGCACCGCCGTCTTCCCCGCCTCCATCTCCAAATAGGTCTGCACTGTCTCCGGGCATGTTTTTGGCGGTGGCCACGGGAGTGTCATCTGAGAAGGAGAGAGAACCCAGAAAATGGGATGAGGGGCAAGCATAACCTGGATCAGAATCACAACTCTTAGAAGCCAATTTATTGAAAGACTAACAGAATGGCTGAGATGGAAGGGACCTTGGAGGTCATCTAGTCCAACCCCCTGCTCAAGCAGGAAATCCTATACCATTTCAGACAAATGGCTGTCCAGTCTCTTCTTAAAAACATCCAGTGTTGGAGCATTCACAACTTCCGGAGGCAGGTTGTTCCACTGATTAATGCAGTGGTTCTCAACCTGTGGGTCGGGACCCCATTTGGGGTCGAATGACCATTTCATGGGGGTCACCAAACCACGCTGTCCGCCATTTTTTTCCCTTTTCCCTAGCTGTCCTACTCCCTCTTATTGGTGGCCACACCCACTTGGGGGTCACCACAACATGGGGAACTGTATTATGGGGTCACGGCATTAGAAAGGTTGAGAATCACTGGATTAATGGTTCTCACTGTTAGGAATTTTTTTTCTTAGATAGCTCTAAGTTGGTTCTTTCCCTGACTAATTTCCATCCGTTGCTTCTTGTGCTGCCTTCTGGTGCTTTGGAAAATAGATTCTTCTTTTTGGCAGACCCTTGGATATTGGAAGACTGCCATCATGTCACCCCTCGTCCTTCTTTTTGGCAGACCCTTGGATAATGGAAGACTGCCATCATGTCACCCCTCGTCCTTGTTTTCATTAAACTAGACCAGGGGTAGGCAACCTTGGCTCTTTTATGGCTTGTGGACTTCAACTCCCAGAATTCCTGAGCCAGCCACACTGAGGAGAAATGGAGAGGTTTCCATGCTGAGCCATGCTGGCTTAGGAATTCTTGGAGTTGAAGTCCACAAGCCATAAAAGAGCCAAGGTTGCCTACCCCTGAACTTGACATACCCAGTTCTTGCAAGTGTTCCTCGTATCTTTTAACCTCCAGTCCCCTGATCATCTTTGTTGCTCTTCTCTGCGCTCTTTCTAGAGTCTCAAAATTATAAAGTGATACTAAAACGTCACGTGATCTTGATGTTATCCCTCTGTTAATGCAACCTAGGACTGTAGTGGCTTCTTTATTGTGGAACAAGTTCCATTAGATTCATGAAATCTAATAAAATTAAACCACATTCTGATTTTTTTAAAATTTGTTCAATGGTTTGGCCACAACACCTTCCCTTCTTCCAAGACATCCCAACTAGGAAAAAGTGCACGCCAAAACAACTAGACACATAGATAGTCCCCCCCCCCCAATACTATCACTCTGCTAATCAACAAATTCCCACAGCCCTGTTATATGCCCTAGGACAGGGGTAGGCAACCTTGGCTCTTTTATGACTCGTGGACTTCAACTCCCAGAATTCCTGTCATAGCTGACTCATCTTTCCTATTACTCATTTCCTTAGCATCTTATGACTATCACTTTGTTGTTTGTATCTTATGATTTATAACGTTATATTTTATTATTAAAATTTATCACTTGTTGCTTGTATGTACTCTTCTGCACCAGAGATAAATTTCTTGTGTGTCCAATCAAACTTAGCCAATAAGGAATTCTATTCTATTCTATTCTATTCTATTCTATTCTATTCTATTCTATTCTATTCTATTCTATTTATTTATTTATTTACAAATATTTATATGCCGCCCAATCCCAAAGGACTCAGGGCGGCGTACAAGATTAAAAACAGTCGTAAAACAATAAAATAATCCAATAAAATAATCCAGTCATACCGCGAGTCCGATCATATCCCGGCCCCCCGGGGACATCAGCCCCAGGCCTGCCGGAACAGGAGAGTTTTAACGGCTTTCTTAAAGGCCGGCAGGGTGGGAGTAGTTCGCACCTCGGGGGGAAGTTGATTCCACCAGGTTGGAGCCACCACAGAAAAGGCCCTTCCCCGAGGGCCCGCCAGCCGACATTGTCTGGCCGACGGGACCCGAAGTAGGCCCAATCTGTGGGACCTCACCGGTCTCTGGGAGCTGTGCGGCAGAATGCGGTCCTGTAGGTAACCTGGCCCTATGCTTTAAAGGTGATAACCAACACCTTGAATTGCGTCCGGAGACCCACAGGAAGCCAGTGCAGCTCGCGGAGGATAGGTGACACGTGGGCGTACCTTGGCGCGTCCACAATCGCTCTCGCGGCTGCATTCTGAACCAACTGCAGCCTCCGAACGCCCTTCAAGGGTAGCCCCATGTAGAGCGCATTACAGTAATCCAGTCTTGAGGTGACAAGGGCATGAGTAGCCATGAGTAGAGCCTCCCGGTCCAAATAAGGCCGCAACTGGTGCACCAGGCGAACCTGGGCAAAGGTCCCCCTGGCCACAGCCGACAGATGTTGTTCCAAATTTAGCTGTGATCCCAGGAGGACACCCAAGTTGCGTGCCTGCACTGAGGGAGGTAAGTATACCCCCCCCCAGGACTAATGATGGACCATCAGGATGACCCTTGGGGGTAAGACCCAGAGCCACTCGGTCTTGTCAGGGTTGAGTCTAAGCCTGTTCACCCCCATCCAGACCCTCACATCTTCCAGGCACCGGCACATCACGTCGACTGCTTCACTGAAAGGACACGGGGTGGAGACATACAATTGGGTATCATCCGCGTACTGATGATACCTCACCCCGTGTCGCCGAATGATCTCACCCAGCGGTTTCATGTAGATGTTAAAAAGGAGGGGGGACAGGACCGAGCCCTGAGGCACCCCATAATCGAGGCACCTAGGGGTCGATCTCTGTCCGCCCGCCAACACCGACTGCGACCTGTCAGAGAGGTAGGAGGAGAACCACCGCAATACAGTGCCGCCCACCCCACCTCTCCGAGACGATGCAGAAGGATACCATGGTCGATGGTATCGAAAGCTGCTGAGAGGTCAAGGAGCACCAGGATAGAGGAATAACCCCTATCCCGGGCTCGCCAGAGGTCATCGGTCAGTGCGACCAAAGCAGTCTCAGTGCTGTAGCCGGGCCTGAAACCAGATTGAAAAGGGTCCAGATAATTGGTTTCCTCCAAGGATCGCAAGAGTTGAGACGCCACCACCTTCTCTACAACCTTCCCCACAAAGGGGAGGTTGGAGACGGGACGAAAGTTCTTCAAAACAGCTGGGTCCAGGGAAGGCTTCTTGAGGAGGGGCCTCACCACCGCTTCCTTTAAAGGTTGCGGGAAAGACCCCTCCATCAAGGAGGCGTTGATTATCGCCTGGAGCCAGCCTCGTGTCACCTCCCTACTGGCAGAAACCAGCCAGGAAGGGCACGGGTCCAATAAACAGGTGGCGGCATTCATTGCCCTCACGGCCTTGTCCACTTCATCAGGGGTCACAGGCTCAAACTGGCTCCAGATAACATGACTAAGACCAGCCCCCGGCAACTCGGCTGGCACTGCCCAGTCGTAGTCCAGGCCTCTCTGAATCTGAACGATTTTGTCCGAAAGAAACTGAACAAACTCCTCAGCTCTCCCCTGCTCTCCCCTATTCCAATGCTATTCTATTCTATTCTACTATATATTCTACTATATTCTACTGCTATTCTATTCTATTCTATTCTATATTCTATTCTATTCTATTCTATTCTATTCTACATTCTATTCTATTGTACATTCTATTCTATTCTATTCTATTCTATTCTATTCTATTCTATTCTATTCTATTCTATATATTCCACTGCTATGCTATTCCCATTTCATATTTTCTATTCTATTCTATTCTATATTCTATTCTGCATTCTATTCTATTCAGTTCTGCATTCTATTCTATTCTATTCTATTCTATATTCTATTCTATATTCTATTCTGCATTCTATTCTATTCAATTCTGTTTTCTATTCTATTCTATCCTATTCTGCATTCTATTCTATTCAATTCTGCATTCTATTCTATTCTATTCCCATTTCATATTTTCTATTCTATTCTATTCTATTCTGTATTTTATTATTCTATTCTATTCTATTCTATTCTATTCTATTCTGTATTTTATTATTCTATTCTATTCTATTCTATTCTATTCTATGCTATGCTATGCTATGCTATTCCATTCCATTCCATTCTATTCTATTCTATGCTATGCTATTCTATTCCATTCCATTCCACATATTCTATTCTATTCTATTCTATTCTATTCTATTCTATTCTATTCTATTCCATTCCATTCCATTCCATATTTTCTATTCTATTCTATTCTATTCTATTCTATTCTATTCTATTCTATTCTATTCTATTCTATTCTATTCCATTCCATTCCATTCCATTCCATATTTTCTATTCTATTCTATTCTATGCTATTCTATTCCATAAAACTGCATATGAGCCACTCCTGATAGCAAACCCAGCAGGGATAGATTATCCATTCAGTTCCTACCTTCCCATTCCAGTTCGTTCCCATTTCCCAGGAATTCCAGGGAGTCCGTCTCATCCGGAGTTTCGATGTCATCCACATTTATATCCAGGTCATCCGGTGTGTCCAGAAAATCGTCCGACAGGAGGGACCCTTCGCTCTGGTCAAAAGAGATGTTGATTTCCGGAGCTACCAGGGTTTTCCGCTTGTGGCGAGCCCCGTTAGTAAAATGTAAGGAGCTCGGGGGCGCTGTGGGATTTGAAGGAGAGAAAGTTAAAGGCGAGGCAGTCCAGAAGAAAAATGTCACTCTGGTTTATTGCGTTTTAATTTGGCAGAAAATTACAACGAGCAAGGGGCATATAATCCTCAACGCGTGACTAAAATTGAGCTCAACGTTTCTGCAGTTAAGTGAGACAGTTGTTAAGTTGTAAAGCTTCATCCCATTTTATGACTTTCCTTGCCAGAGTTGTTAAGTTGTTAAGTTTGCCGTTGTCAAATTAGTAACCCACTTGTTATTTGAGTCTGGCTTCGTGCATTGACTCTGCTTTTCCGAAGGTCGCAGAAGGGGATCACCTGACACCCCCCTCCCAGGACACTGCGACCATCATTAATATGAGTCAGTTGCCAAGCATCCGAATTTTGATCACATGACCGTGTGGATGCCACGACGGTCGTTAAAGTGTGAAAAACGGTCATCAGTCACGTTTTTTTTCTGTGCCTGAGCATAGCAAACTGTTGTAAGTCAAGGGGATGACCTGAAAGTGCAATTTTTTTTATATAGATATTTTATTAAGTTTTATAAAGGTAGGGATGGTAGAGGACAGGAAGACCTGGAGGAACGTTGTCCATGGGGTCGCAATGGGTCGGACACGGCTTCGCAATTAACAACAACAACAACAAGGGTAGGGAAGGGATAAGGTCGGTATGGATCTTGGATGGGGTTAGGGAATAGGATTGGGATAAGGGTAGAGGAAGGTACAATAGTGGGGTTACCCCTAACAAAAATTCAATGCTTTAGCAAGCAGACTATCGCCCAGGTGCAAATATTAAATGACACTAGTTAATATAATACTAAACAATTATAATCACTAATAATAACAATGATCATAAAAAATAAAGCTTAGTCAATTCATCCTGTTAAATTTCACCATCCTTTCTCGCTCTATCGTGTTGCTAACCATTGATAAAAATTTTCCCATGTTTTAAAATAGACTGAATTTAATAGGTTTTTAAAGGCTGGTTCATTGTTCTCACTGTCAGAAAATTTCTCCTTATTTCTAGGTTGTTACTATTATTATTATTATTATTATTATTATTAAGTTGAAAGGAAGCTTGGAGGCCATCTAGTCCAACCCCCTGCTCAGGCAGGAAACCCAATACCATTTCGGACAAATGGCTGTCCAGTCTCTTCTTAAAAACTTCCAGTGTTGGAGCATTCACCGCTTCTGGAGGCAGGTGGTTCCACTGGTTAATTGTTCTCTCTGTCAAGAACTTTCTCCTTAATTCCAGGTTGCTTCTTTCCTTCATTAGTTTCCATCTGTTGCTTCTTGTTTTGCCTTCAGGGGCTTTGGAGAATAGGTTGAACCCCCCTCTTCTCTGTGGCAGCCCCTCAAATGCTGGAAGACTGCTATCCTGTCTCCCCTAGTCCTTCTCTTCATTAAACCAGACATATCCCCAATTCCAGCAACCGTTCCTTATATGTTTTAGCCTCCAGTCCCCTGATCATCTTTGTTGCTCTTCTCTGTACTCTTTCTAGAGCAGTGGTTCTCCACCTGTGGGTCGGGACCCCATTTGGGGTCGAACGACCATTTCACGGGGGTCACCAAACAATGCAGTCTGCCATTTTTTCCCCCTTTTCCTTGGCTGTGCTACTCCCTTTTGTTCTATTAGCTTTTGAAAGCCAATAGAATGGATTCTCTTGAATAGAGTCTAATTCTATTGGCTTTCCAAAGCCAATAGGAATTGTCCAGGCTGTCTCTGCCCTGCTGAGCCCGCCAAAAGTCCCATTCTGCAAACGGTGCTGCAAGTTGTCTGCAGCGAAGGCGAGCTGTCTGGAAGCTTCCACCCCTCCCTGCTGAGCAACTACTAAAAATGTAAGCACAAGAGGGCCAGGGGTGGGAGGTGGGAGGCCGGTGGGCGCAGGGAGGGTTGCTGGTGCGCGGGGGGCCCGGCGGGTGCCTTACCTCCCTTGGGCTGGGCCAGCTGGTGGCCCAGCCGGTGGTCGGCCTGCGCCATTGCTGCTGCTCGCCAGCTACACTTTGGCCGGCGCAGGGGGCAGCACCACGCATGCGCAGCGCTCCCAGGCAGGGAAAGTCCTCGACTTACGACCGGTTGGGTAGTCCTCGACTTACGACCGGTTGGGTAGTCCTCGACTTATGACCGGTTGGGTAGTCCTCGACTTACGACCGGTTGGGGGGTCGCGGCATTAAAAAGGTTGAGAACCATTGTTCTAGAGCCTCAACATCCTTCTTTATAGTGTGGACACCAAAAACTGCTTGCAGGATTCCAGTTTTGGCCTTACTAAGGCTTTATAGAGTGGTATTAGTACCTCCAATCTGAATTGCATTGACCATCTACATCTACTCACCCAACACGTTCCCCGATGGGCTTCCCAAGTTCTCCATTCCTGCTTCTTCCGGGAGGGGCCTAGAGATGAGGGGGGGAGAAAAAAAAAAGATTCAGACTGCAGTGGGGGTCTTTCCTTCCATAAACGGGAACCATAAGACGATGGCTTCAAATAAATGCATGAATATATATTGAAGAGGGTTAGAACCCAGATCTCGGCATTAAAAAAGAAAATATCACTAGATTTCTAAGACAGGGAAAAAGAGCCGAACAAAAATACATATTAAAGCAAATACTTGCTAAAAGGAAGAATGCATGCTAACTCAAGGGTCTGTTCCAGGGCAGGGGTAGGCAACCTTGGTTCTTTTATGACTCGTGGACTTCAACTCCCAGAATTCCTGAGCCAGCGCAGGGGAACTATGGCCCCTTCATACTTATGGACTTCAACTCCCAGGAGAACCTACACCAGGGGTAGTCAACCTTGGCTCTTTTATGACTCGTGGACTTCAACTCCCAGAATTCCTGAGCCAGCTGGCTCAGGAATTCTGGGAGTTGAAGTCCACGAGTCATAAAAGAGCCAAGGTTGACTACCCCTGACCTACACCAAGGGTGTCAAACTGCCAGCCCGCAGGCTGGATGCGTCAGGCCGAAACCACGCCCACCCTATTGCTCGCAATGGGAAAAAAAGTTGTGATACGTCGCAGCACGTCACGTGACGTTGTGAGTTTGACACCCCCTGACCTATTCCATCTCAGATGGAGGAGGAGAGGGGGAGAGGGAGGGGAAGGAGGAGGACTGTGGGCTCCTTGGTGCGCTCTGAGCTTGGTGGTTTTCTTGCAGACGTTTCATGACCCAACTAGGGAACATCATCAGTGTTCGGATGCTAACTCGGCGAATACTGATGATGTTCCCTAGTTCAGTAATGAAACGTCTGCAAGAAAACCATCAAGTTCAGACAGCATCAAGGACCCCACTATCCTCCTCCTCCTCCACTCCACAAACCTCCCCTCCCTTGCAACACTGATGGTGTTATTCAGCTGGGTCATGAAACGTCTGCAAGAGAACCACCAAGCTTACGCAGAGAGCAGCAAGCACAACACAGCACCGCCCTGAGCTAGAAATACTCTCTTCTCTGGGAGCTTTAATCATTTGGTTAATGGGCAAAAACTTTCACAAATTCTCCCTAATTGCTTTCTGCCCAATTTGCAGCATGGACTTTAGTGCAAGAAACCCGTTGGTCAGTTGATCTGTGACATGACCTTAAGGAGGCTGGAGAACGGGAATTGGGTGTGCTTAGTCTAAAGAAAAGAAGAAACAGGGGACATCATCATCATCATCATCATCATAGTAAAGTTGGGAGGGACCTTGGAGGTCATCTAGTCCAACCCCCTGCTCAGGCAGGAAGCCCTACACCATTTCGGACAAATGGCTGTCCAGTCTCTTCTTAAAAACTTCCAGTGTTGGAGCATTTACTGCTTCTGGAGGCAGGTTGTTCCCCTGGTTAATTGTTCTCACTGTCAGGAAGTTTCTCCTTAGTTCTAGGTTGCTTCTCTCCTTGGTGAGTTTCCATCCGTTGCTCCTTGTCCTGCCTTCAGGCGCTTTGGAGAATAGCTTGACTCCCTCTTCTTTGGGGCAGCCCCTGAGATACTGGAATGCTGCTATCATGTCCCCCCTTGTCCTCCTCTTCGTTAAACTAGACATACCCGATTCCAGCAACCATTCCTTATATGTTTTAGCCTCCAGTCCCTTAATCATCTTTGTTGCTCTTCTCTGTACTCTTTCTAGAGTCTCAACATCTTTTTTACATCGTGGTGACCAAAGATTGTGACTAAGTGATGATTCATTTTTTTATTTGCGATTTCTATCCTGCTCTCCTGCCTAAAAACCAGTCATAGAATAGTTGGAAGAAACTGGCTATTTAAAGAACCTCCCTGAACACGTCTCACATCCAGGGCCTCAATCAAAAGCAACAGGGAAAAAAAAAACATGTTTCTAGTCCTCTGAGTCACCCCAGAGAAGTCAATCAGCCACTTTAAAACGATGGGGATTTCAGAATCAGAATAGATCTGCAAGGGACCTGGAGGTCTTCTAGTCCACCCTCTTCCTCAAGCAGGAGACCCCCATACAATTTCAGAGAAATGACTGTGTAGTCGCCTCTTCATAAAAAGCACCTACAACTTCTGGTGGCCAGCTGTTCCACCGGTTAATTGTCTTCCCTGTCAAGAAGTTTCTCCTTCATTCCAGTTTGCTTCTCTCCTCGATTAGTTTCCATCCATTATTTCTTCTCTTGCCTTCTATGGCTTTGGAGAATAAGTTGACCCCCTCCTCTTTTTTGTGGCAGCCCCTCGAATACTAAGAATACTACTACCATGTGTCCCCCCCCCCCCAGTGTTGCGTCCTTGGCGGGAAAGCAGACACGAGAAGCAGCTGGAGTTCTCAGTTCCTTTTATTCAGCGTTCAGCTTACAGGAAGATGGCTTCAGCCTCGCCCAAACGCCTCGCAGCCTCTTATATAGGCAACTCCCGGGTAAAAGGGTTACTTTTCCCGCGCCAGCACCCGCGCATGCGCACGGCGCTGGCGACAGCCTTTCTGGTCCCGGGCAGCTTTGCACCTGCCCGGGACTGCCTGCAAACGCCCGAGCCGTTTGCAAAGGCTCGGGACATAACACCCCTTTCCCCCGGGCTAAAACTACTACCAACATCCAACATTTATTTTATACGACATTTTGCTCCCCAATGTTCCCACTGTTTACTGGCTTTTGCTTTGCCAGCAATGTTATGTAGTCTTCTAGGTACTTGGGAGATTTCTTTGCTCTCTGTGACCTTCTTAGCTCTGGATGACTGGCATAAGTCCCCTGACTGGAGGGAGGCGTGAGCCTTTTCTCTCTATTGTGCCCTGGTGTCTTCCAAGGACTGTGCCCCAATGCCTGGCCTGCTCGCTTGCCCACCGGGCTCGTCAGGCCAGGGCTTCTGTTGCTTTGTGACCTGGTTGACCTGCCTAGCTGTAGACCCTCGGGCCCCTTGAAGGGATAGCCGCTGCTGGGCGTCTCTGTAGGACCTCCTAGGTCAGTCCAAGACCTGTCAGGAGGCTGTCCATTCCCTGAACCCCATTCTGTGTTCGGGCTCGTGTGGGTTTCTGTACTTTCCCAAAACTCAGGTGTTCCCTGATTTGTGCTAGGGTTGTTGTAGTCGGGACTTGTTTCCTCGACTAACTCTGTGTATGTTTGACCCCCTGTAGGATTTGGGGTAAGGTCAGGCCAACCTTGGGAATTGTGTGCCAGCTCTCTTGCGGGGAATGATTTGTTGGGATGCCCCCGGGTATCCTCCGTGACTGGAGTGCTGTGTGACGTATGTGGAAAGTAAGTATGCCCCCGGGGTGACTCCCTGGCTGGAGTAGGCGTGAGTGCCTGTTGTGTGGGTAAGCTCCATGACTTCCTTTTCGGAGCAATTGCGGAATCTTGGGACGAGCCGTTTGTGGCTCCCTCAGTGGAGATGGGCAGTATCTCTTGCCCTTCCCTTTGCTCCAAAGGGTCCCCCTCCCCCCCTGGAAAAGACCCAGGAGTCTCAGCTGGAAGATCCCGCCTAGGGCGGAGTTGGTCGATGTGCCGGCGCAGGACACGACCGTGGTCCAGGGCTACCTCGTAGGATAGAGGACCTGTGACCCTGGAAATAGAAGCGGGGACCCATGTATGACCAGGCCCGTAATTGCGAGTCCAAACCGTGGCACCCACAAGTAGTTGTCTAGGTGCCCTAGGATGTGAGGTAGATGAAGGCAGTCTGTCCGGATGCAACCGGTCAAGTCTAGTAGTAAGTTGGCGCCCCCAACGAAGTTCAGCTGGACTTCTCCCTGTAGAAGTGGACGGTGTGGTGCGATAAGAAAGGAGAAAGTCAGCCAACCTGTGATGCCAGTCCCCGTAGGTGAGTCTCTTCAAGGCGTCCTTTGCGATGCGCACCATGCGTTCAGCCATACCGTTGGTGGACGGGTGAAAAGGCGCAGACGTGGCATGACGAATCAGGTTTGCCTGTAAGAAAGCTTGGAATTCGGAGGAGGTGAATTGAGGGCCGTTGTCAGACACAATGACATCTGGCAGCCCGTGTGCAGCAAAAATCCCCCTCAGTACCTGAATAGTCTTTGCAGTGGTGGTGGATGAAACAGGCACAACCTCAAGCCATTTTGAATGGCTGTCAACAAGGACCAAGAAGAACTGGCCCTGAAAGGGCCCAGCGTAGTCAATGTGCACCCTAGACCATGGGGACTGTGTTTCCTCCCATCTATGCACAGGAGCTTGGGGCATCTCTGGGCGAGATCGTTGGCACAGGTGACATGCGTGTACCTTAGCCTCAATATCTTTATCTAAACCAGGCCACCACAAGTGGCTTCGTGCAAGAGCCTTCATACGGACAATGCCAGGATGACCCTCGTGGAGGGATTCTAAGACCCTAGTCCTCATTGAGGTGGGAATGACAACTCTGTTTCCCCAAAGCAGACAATCCTGAGAAAGGGACAGTTCGTTTCTTTTGGACCAGAAACTCTGAAACTCAGGACTAGGGCAGTGCTCAGGCCACCCGGACAGGACCCAGGAGCGGACACGTGAAGCAGCTGGAGTTCTCAGTTCCTTTTATTCAGCGTTCAGCTTACAGGAAGATGGCTTCAGCCTCGCCCAAACGCCTCGCAGCCTCTTATATAGGCAACTCCCGGGTAAAAGGGTTACTTTTCCCGCGCCAGCACCCGCGCATGCGCACGGCGCTGGCGACAGCCTGTCTGGTCCCGGGCAGCTTTGCACCTGCCCGGGACTGCCTGCAAACGCCCGAGCCGTTTGCAAAGGCTCGGGACATAACACCCAGTCCTTCTTTTCTCTAGACCAGCCATACCCAATTCTGGCAGCCGTTCTAGTTCTATCCTCTCCTCTTTATTCTGGAATTTAAAAGTTTTTTTAAAAAGAACAGTTCTATGGAAAATGTCAAGTCTGTTATACACCCTGTTGCTGGATTTCAACAACCGGCTCCTCCTCCATCTTACTATAAATAAGGCTTGTGTTGCAAAGGTAGCAAATAATAATAATAATAATAATAATAATAATA